CCAGCCAACCCTGCAATGCTATTTTGTCTTAAAGCCCTAAATGAAGCAAGTCTTGATTTCCCCAGGTTCAGGAACTCTGGTCTCCCTGGGGCTCCTTTTCAATTTAAATGGGTTTATTTGTTACAATCAAAATTATATATATTCAGAGACTGAGCATTAGTATATGCTGAGGCCCAAATGAACAGTGTTTATTTATGTCACGGTGTTGCGACTTCAGAATGACCTTGTGCAGTATCCTCCTCTTCATGAAATCAGATATGATGGATATTGTGACAATATTCGGGGACATACGCGGTTTAATGTTACTTATTACCATTAAATAACGCTAAACCTCGCTAACGTACATTTTATTCAGTACAACATACACAACAGCGAAACAAAGAAAGAAAATACTGGTCAGCACGTGTTGCTCTGCGTCTGAAGAGTGTTAGAGTTACCTCCCCTTATTGAGTACGCGAACCCGGAAAACGCAATCCGCTGTGAAAGGAATACGGACACAACTGACTGACTGACTGAATGAGTTTGGCTTTACGCCGCTTTTAGCAATATTCCAGCAACATCACGGCGGGGACACCAGAAATGGGCTTCACACATTGTACCTATGTGGGGATTCGAACCCGGGTCTTCGGCGTGACGAGCCAACGCTTTAACCATTAGGCTACCCCACCGCCCCTACAATCAAACCACTTAACCAACCTATCTGGTGATATGAAAGTGTGCCTTGCTTACGAGAAATTTCATAACGACTGTGAGTAAAGCACGTTTATCGTTGCTAAAAACTGTAAAGGTGATGGAGCCTGTGAAGGTGTGGCGTGTGAAGTGTAAATTGTGAAGAGGGTGAATATAAAGGTGTGACATATGAAGGTGTGAAATGTAAAGTGTGTGAATATAAAGGTGTCGCGTGTGAAGGGGGATGTAAAAGTGTGGCGTGTGAAGTGGGGATGTAAAGCCAAAGGTGTGATGTGTGAAGGTGTGGCGTGTGAAGTGGGAGATGTAAAGGTGACGCGTGTGAAGGTGTGAAATGTGAAGTGGGTGTATTTGTAGGTGTGACGTGTGAAAATGTGAAGTGGGGATGTAAAAGTGTTGCGTGTGAAGTGGGGATGTAAAGCCAAAGGTGTGATGTGTGAAATGGGAGATGTAAAGGTGTGATGTGTGAAGGTGTGGAATGTGAAGTGTGGAATGTAAAGGTTAGACGTGTGAATGTGTGGCGTGTGAAGTGGGAGATGTAAAGATGTGATGTGTGAAGGTGTGGAATGTGAAGTGTGGAATGTAAAGGTTAGACGTGTGAATGTGTGGCGTGTGAAGTGGGAGATGTAAAGGTGTGATGTGTGAAGGTGTGGAATGTGAAGGTTAGACGTGTGAATGTGTGGCGTGTGAAGTGGGAGATGTAAAGGTGTGATGTGTGAAGGTGTGGAATGTGAAGTGTGGAATGTAAAGGTTAGACGTGTGAAGGTGTGGAATGTGAAGTGGGATATGTAAAGGTGTGATGTGTGGTGTGGAATGTGAAGGTTAGACGTGTGAATGTGTGGCGTGTGAAGTGGGAGATATAAAGGTGTGAAGCCGTGGCGTGTGCAGGGGGAGATGTAAAGGTGTGATGTGTGAATGTGTGGCGTGTGAAGTGGGAGATGTAAAGGTGTGATTTGTGAAGGTGTGGAATGTAAAGTGGGAGATGTAAAGGTGTGATGTGTGAATGTGTGGCGTGTGAAGTGGGAGATGTGAAGGTGTGGTGTGTGAAGGTGTGGAATGTAACGGTGTGATGTGTGAAGGTGTGAATGTGAAGTGGGAGATGTGAAGATGTGATGTGTGAAGGTGTGGCGTGTGAAGGTGTGGAATGTAAAGGTGTGATGTGTGAAGGTGTGGCGTGTGAAGGTGTGGAATGTAAAGGTGTGAAGTGTAAAGGTTAGACGTGTAAAGGTGTGGAATGTAAAGATGAGGCGTGTAAAGGTGTGGCATTTGCTGCTGTGGAACGTCGAGGTGTAGAATGTGAAGGTGTAGAACGTAGAAGGTGAAGGTGTGGGCGTTGAAGGTGTGACATGAGAAGCCGCCGAATGTAAAGTGTGTTTATGGAGGGTAGGGAAGTTAAAGGTTCAGGAAGTACAAGTGCTGAAGTTTATAGAGAGGTATGAGATGTAAGGACGAGGAAGATATATTAAGATTGAGTTTGTGTTTGATTTCACGGCATATTTCTGAAAATAATGGACATCTTTGGCGACACCTTGACATGTCAGATAACAGATAACTGTGTGGCTTTCCTGACTGAAATCTAAAGCCACATCAACCTCGTCAACCAACTAAAGCATATTTCGCTGTTACTGATAATCCTGTGATATAGTATTGTATTGTGTATACATAAACCCAACGTACGCTGGGTATTCGAATATTATGGGGTGAGCGAGTGATCATGGTTTCACATCGAGCTTTACATTATTCCAGAAATATTAGGGCGGGAAACAAAAGAAATATGGTGGCTGATTAGGACCATAAAGAAATGGTTTTCATATTTTGCACCAGTTCGAAGAATTGGACGTGAAGAACGAACACTTTAAACAAAAGACTTTCCTACAGCCCGATCTTCCAGAGGAGCCTGCATTGTTTGAATGGAAGACTGAAAATACCCATACGGTATCCAGTATATCCCTTATTCCGTCGTGTATTTAAGTCAATCACTGCGAGCATGTTTGACAACAGTTACTGTCGAAACCAAAACGTTCAGAAGAGATTTACCGGACGCTTCTTTCTTTTTCTAAACAGGGGAGATAATCAATAGACGTGACAAGATCACTCTGATCGAAATTGTTCTCAAACATACTGGAAGGTGAGGTAAAATGGGCTTTAACGTCGTACTTAAAGAATGTTTCGCTCTTATGACAACGTGCGTGCGTGTGTATGTGTGGCTGCTTGTACAACCCGGACTTAAGCTGTCTTTATAGTGCTAGCTCACTGAGCTACCATGCCTCACTTTAGCGTGAATACCCCACTCAGACACCGAGCCGACCAGTCCTTGGTGTACCCATTCCGAGCGCGAGGCAGGGACCAACAACAAGTACCATATTTTAACGTCTTTTGGTATGACGCGGCCGGGGATGGAACCACTACACCACGGAGGTGGTCACATAGCGGAAGGATACAGGGATCGCAGGCATGTTCCAAGTAGGTGTTAACGTGATGGTATACATTGAGTTTGGAAACTTGATGAACACACATAAATACCAGCACTATTATCCTTTAAAAACCAGGGGCCTCACCAACGTTCTAATATACTCATGCCAATAATGGTTGTCACCCCCTTCAATTTGTTTTATTGGAGAGGGTGTGTGTGGGGTTGGGGTGAGGAGGGTGTGTGTGTGTGTGTGTGTGTGTGTGTGTGGGGGTTACAACCATTATTGGCATGAGTATATTACAGTTCCTAATGGTGGCAACATCCCTTTAACAAGTAACCTGCCTCACAGTCCCTGAAATGTATTGTTTTCCATTCTGCCCATCAATTCCTGTGACCCAACCCCCAACAATGAAACAAGTCTAGATTATCCCCCGGGTCAGAGACTGAATCACCCTCCCTGGGCCTCTAGTTTCAATTAGAATATAGTTATTTGTTTCTGTCAAAAATATTAGTTTTCAGACTGTTAAGAAAACTGACACAAAGATTCTCGCTATTGCTTTTCGCTTACAAGAGTGGTCTTAATTATAACACTGAGTCGTTCATTCTCCTTGGTCAAAGCTGCTGGTTAGGACATTAGGGTGGGCGGGAGATTTTATGTGTTTAAAATCTCAAATCTCAACCAGCCAGAGCTTGCGGGCGACAAGAAAGAATAGTTTTTCACCTTGATCACTGGATTGTGTAGCCTATTTTATGATATTTTAACATTTACATTCCTTGAAAATAGGTTTTAAATTGATATATAATGAAGATCGTTTCACTTTGCTACGGAAACATATTTAAATAATCATGGATGAAGACAAATCTAGCTGACCAGTTTTTAGGGTACGAGTATATGTTTTATCACAAAAGGGCATAATTTGTTACAGCGGAGGGAAATACCGAGTTAAAACCTTTTATTATTTCACGTCGGGATGTCTAGGGTGGGCAGGAGATGGAAGCACATGGTAGTTTGTATTTGTAATTTACAGCCTTATTATTATGTGCATCACCTTACCCCAGGTCCTCTTGTTGTCGTGGAATACTTGAATAGTTACAAAATCTAATCTTCTTTGAATCAGTATACGGAATGACATGTAATACGACACTATCACAATGCTGACATCGGTATTGCTGAATAAAACTAGGGCAAACTGGTCAAAATGTGGTCTTAAGTTCATAATGCATTTACTGTTAAATATATTGAAAAACTGAATTATCTTACGAGGTCGCTACATTGTTGGTACGTGAAAATGAATTGAGAGTTGTTTGTCTTACAGTCAACAAGAATCGAGATACTAGTATTCAAGAGCTCATTGCTCAAACATCAAACCTGGGCCAATCAACCACTGACTTATAGCCTTATTTATAATCCGAACCCTTTTGGTATCATCTCGCTGCTGAGGCCATCTGGAATCTCCAAATCCTTCCAGACTTGAGTCTGACTCTTTTTTAATATAGTCAATAGGATCTGGAAGAGTGAGTGAGTGAGTTTAGTTTTACGCCATACTCAGCAATATTCCAGCTATATGGCGGCGGTCTGTAAATAATCATGTCTGGACCAGACAATCCAGTGATCAACAGCATGAACATCGATCTACGCAACTGGGATACAATGACATGTGTCAACCAAGTCCGAGCCTGGCCACCCGATCCCGTCAGTCGCCTCTTACGACAAACATGGGTTACTGAAGGCCAATTCTCATCCGGATCTTCACGGGTCGGATCTGGAAGACACACGACTGCACAACCAATGCCCGAGCGAACAAGTCCATTGGTTTCTGTGAAGATACATTTTCTGTCTTAGAATCACTGGAACATTTGGAGGCTGAACATTAAGCGAAACTCGAACAATACAAGCAGGTCAAACCGTCACAATATTTTGTTCACAAAATACTATTGGATATCTTCATAAATGCCCACAATGGACTGAAAAAGCTCTGAGTATATGTGATTGACACAATGGCTCAGATTGGCCAATCCCGTTATTGAACCAGAAGAACATAAAACCTTGTTTTTAAGCTGACAGAGGACTTTCTGGTTCAAGCCTTGTCTGGTCAGTCTGTACTACTCTACTCTGAAGTCTCCTTCAATGACGACCTGTGCCTTGTCTGGCCATTCCGCATTGTTGATGCCTAATGAACTCAGGGCGTCATAAACAATGCTCATGTCCACAGACTCCGACCCAAAGATAAGGAGGTGGACTCTCTCATCAGCTTCATCGTGCTCCTCTCTTCGACTTCCATCCTCACGTCTGTACATTTCTCGGCGTATCTGTGCAATATTCGCTATCTCTTGCAGGTGCTTGTATACATGGGCTCTAAGGCCTACAGGGTCGTCTCCGTAGATGTCAATATTATAAGCAAGGCCGAGTTTACACCAGTAGCTTTTGCCAAATGAAAGACACTCTCGTGGGGATTCGCCAGTGTGAAAACAAGCCTCGACTGCGAACATCAGAGGAATGTTTTGAGGATGAGCTCTCAACGGAATCCTGTTCACAATAAGTCGATCTCCTGGAAAGAGGTAGCCATGTGTTTGTTTGTCAGACATAAGTCTTTCCAAATCTTGTTGTGTAGGAATCGAAAACTGGACGCCATTAAGAGGCACCTGATTAAGGTGAAGGTCGTTCATGTGAAAAGGAAAACAATGGACAGGCTGAAAAGAGAAAATAAACCGTTTACAAAAATCTCTGAATATCAGACAAATCAAAATACTTTGCTGAGATGAAGTTATATAATGAAATTATATGACGAAATGTATGTAACGTGTATGATTAATGAAATGGAAAGAAGAAGATACGGTTGGTGTTATCATATTAATTGGTCTATTCTTGACATTGGCTTGAGCTTGGAAATTTGTTTATGGTCTGGAAGAACGAAACAAGAAAACTTGAATATTTTATGCATCGTTTCAACTTCTGCATTATTGTTAGCAAGTGTTTAATGAAGGCTTTCATGCCCTGTTTGCCCCAACGTTTTAAGAGCATACGTTTGTGTACCTGTTTGTAGCGATACAGCGAGATACGTATTTTGATTCTATCACTGCACTTAAGTGATTTAAGAGTTCGATTTGAAATGAAAGAACACAACTTGTAAATTGCTTATCAGGGTAGCGAAGTGGTTAGTGTGTTTGCCAGATAGACTCCAGTTTGATTCCCGACTTAATAACATCATGGTTCAAACATACAACTTTCTTGTGTTTCTTTGCTCAAAACACAAGCTGAATGAAATTACTGGAACAAAAATGTACGCTTTTGATTGAATGCTTCAAATGCCAGTGAAATCAGCTATAACGGTAAACACGTGTTTGCCACTAATATGGCAATGTCCCCCGCTGCTAAAGAAGTATTTATAACATATTCACTTCTTTTTATTTTTGGGTCACATACAAGATGCTTGAAATGACTGGTACCTGCATAATCACCCAATGTAGGCTGTCGACATAATTGAAGACAATGGGTGCAATGTTTTATGAGGAATCACGTTTACATAAGTTTGAAAAGTGGTCAAAGTGTCATGGTGACCTTGAAGATAAGGTCAAGGTCACCCAAATCAACTGGTGTCAGCGTAATCCCCCAATGTGGGCTGCCGCCAAATTTGAAGACATTGGGTACAACAGTCCATGGGATATCGCGTTAACAAGACTTTGAAAAGTGTTCAAAAGTGATATAAGTTGTTCACTGGTCACGAGGGGGGCATGGGTTGATGTACCCTCGATGTTTGTTTATGTTCCTTGAGCCCGAAGGGCGAGGGGAACATAAACAAACATCAAGGGTACATCAACCCATTGACCCCGAGGGACCAGTGAACAACGTATTTATCTTACCGAACACCTTAATGTTTATTTTGAATTGTTTTAAGCATGGGTACAAATCTTTTTGTAGCCATCGCTAGATTGTGCTGACAAGAAACATAGATTTAGAGTTATCTCCCTTCCATCGATTTGCATTCGCAAAACATCGGTAATTTCCGTACATCATACGTGATTCAATAAAATTCGAGATAAAGAATTACTACCACGAAGTACCAAATGAGTTGCCATTGACAGCGGGGTACATTGAAAATAATAGAAGAGCGCTCAGCCAATCAGAAAGCGACATTTATGTGTGAGGTAAGAAAATTAGAATTAACATTACCCTCTTCAGAACCCGCGAGAACCCCTGTGAGTATGGGTGGGAGAGCATGGGATGCCCGTATTCTGTCAGAAACATTTCATACAGGATGTTGTTATTGCCGGAATAACTTGACCTCAGGTAATGTAACAGTCGGCCCATCACACCCTGACCTCTGAAGGTTGCGTGTGTACGTCCGAACATGAACAGCACTGTTCTACAGCCATCCACGAGTCTTCCGCACACGAAGGCAATCTGCAAAATTACACCACTGAGTTGATGTATTGGTACCATAAATAATATTTTCAGTTAAGATATAAGGAGAGACCGTATGCTCTAGGTTGATGATGTCAAACTAAGTTCTTTAACTGGGGCTAATCTGATCACGCTTTCTACAGCCGTCCCGAGTCCCGCACATGAAGGCCATCTGGAATATTAGACAACTGAGTTGATGTAACGCTACCAGTTTCAGCGTGGGATATAATGAAAGACAAAAGGTTGATGATGCCAAACTAAGTACCATAGCTTCAACGGATCCTTGTAAGATAAAGGTCAGGAATTATGTCGCCTGGTCCTCGACTGCACCTCTTGTATTAAACAATGTCTTGGAGAATTTGATACAGACGGAGATCAAACGAAGGGTAAAAAACCAATTAATACTCTCTAAAACCAGACGAAGACGACCTGTGAAGATCCGGGTTAGATTTGATCTTCAGTAACCCAAGCTTGTTGTAAGAGGTGAATAACGGGTGGTCAGGCTCGCTGACTTGGTCAACACATGTCATCGTATCCCAATTGTGTACATCGATGCTCATGATGTTGAACACTGTCTGGTCCAGACTCGATTTTTTACAGACCGCCGCCATATAGCTGGAATATTGCGGCGTAAAACTAACTCACTCACTCCAAAATCCAGACACGAATCTTCATAGAGCAAGTTAAAGTACCGCAGTAACGAAGTGATAGTAAGTTCCATACTTCACTTGAAAACTTACGATTGTCGTTACGCTACGATCGGATTGTGGAACGTGACCCAATTAGGTTTTTTACAAATGTGCTTTGTCTGATGTTTTACTCGAGTGTACTAAACGGTAAGTAAATGGAATACATACGATCCGGTTGTCGACTTCACCAAGAAGAGCTGATAGGTTTGGGTCTGTAACTGTGCTGTGGTATCCTGCTGGAAGATAGTCTCGTCCACGCAGCACATGATGGTTGATGTCCATCACGCCCTCGTAGTCATTGATCGTGGCTTTCCGAAAGATTACGTCGACGTTGGAACTGCTCGTACAGAAGGTCCGGTCGTGGGCGTAATTCAGCCTCCGTGCGAATCGTTGCAAAGCGTTTCGTATCATGGCTGACCGTTTGTCTCTGGAGAAAAGACAAGGATGGCTGGAACAATCAGGCTGTGCTACAAACCTCACGTTACATGTATCATGCGTAAGTGCAGCTGGACATTTTTGGACAGGTTAAATACGTTTCTACTTTCGTGAATAATTATAATGATAATGAGTGAGTGAGTGGTTTGGGTTTAACGCCGCTGTGAACAGCGAATGAGAGCGAGTATGGGTTTAGTAATATTTCAGCAATATCACGGCGGGGGACACCTGAAATAGTCTTTACACATTATACCCATATGGAGAATCGAACCGGGTCTTCGGTGGAACGAACTAACGCTTTAACCACGTGGATACCACATCGCTCTAAATGGTGTGGGGGTTTAGCACTTTGATGAAACACACGAGCATGGAATTGGTGCATTCGTAACTACTCGCCTCTTTCCGTGACCTACTCGCCTCTCTCCGTGACCTACAAGAAGACCTTCTATACTCAGCCTGTAATTTGCGGACTGAACGAAATGCATACTCCGTTATCTTAGACTATGTAGCATCTGTAATCACCATGCCATTTATAGGGTGAGTACCATTTTATATATTTGCCCGGTGTATACAGATTTACACTTCCGTGTTAACAGGGACACTTTTACATTAAGAAATACGATATCAAAGTACTATCATTTATCACAGTATCTATATCTAAGTGTATTAGATGCACTTACCTTGTACTCCTGAGTGTCACATACGCGTTCATCATGCAGGATAGCCACTCATATAGGGATGCAATAGCACTTTCAGACAAAGTTTAACTACTGTATGGCCTCTCCAAAACTAGCTATCCTTCTCTGCAACCCTAGCTATCCTTCTCTCCAACCCTAGCTATCCATCTCTCCAACCCTAGCTATCCTTCTCTCCAACCCTAGCTAGCTATCCTTCTCTCCAACCCTAGCTAGCTATCCTTCTCTCCAACCCTAGCTATCCATCTCTCCAACCCTAGCTAGCTATCCTTCTCTCCAACCCTAGCTAGCTATCCTTCTCTCCAACCCTAGCTAGCTATCCTTCTCTCCAACCCCCTAGCTATCCTTCTCTCCAACCCTAACTAACTATCCTTCTCTCCAACCCTAGCTAGCTATCCTTCTCTCCAACCCTAGCTAGCTATCCTTCCTCTCCAACCCTAGCTAGCTATCCTTCTCTCTAACCCCCTAGCTAGCTATCCATCTCTCCAACCCTAGCTAGCTATCCATCTCTCCAACCCTAGCTAGCTATCCTTCTCTCCAACCCTAGCTAGCTATCCTTCTCTCCAACCCTAGCTAGCTATCCTTCTCTCCAACCCTAGCTAGCTATCCTTCTCTCCAACCCTAGCTAGCTATCCTCTCTCCTAACCTAGCTATCCTTCTCTCTCCAACCCTAGCTAGCTATCCTTCTCTCTCCAACCCCCTAGCTAGCTATCCTCTCTCCAACCCTAGCTAGCTATCCTTCTCTCCAACCCTAGCTAGCTATCCTTCTCTCCAACCCTAGCTAGCTATCCTTCTCTCCAACCCTAGCTAGCTATCCTCCATCTCCTCTCTCCAACCCTAGCTAGCTATCCTTCTCTCCAACCCTAGCTATAGCTATCTAGCTATCCTCTCTAACCCTAGCTATCCTAGCTATCTCTCCAACCCTAACTAGCTATCCTTCTCTCCAACCCTAGCTATCCATCTCTAACCCTAGCTATCCTTCTCTAGCTATCCTTCTCTCTCCAACCCTAGCTATCCATCTCTACCCTACTATCCTAGCTATAACCTAGCTATCCATCTCTCCAACCCTAGCTAGCTATCCTTCTCTCTAACCCTAGCTATCCTCCTCTCTAGCTATCCATCTCTCTAACCCTAGCTACCCTAACTAGCTATCCATCTCTCCAACCCTAGCTATATCTCTAACCCTAGCTATCCTCTCTCCAACCCTAGCTATCCTCTCTCTAACCCTAGCTATCCTCTCTCTCAACCCTAGCTAGCTATCCTTCCTCTCCAACCCTAGCTATCTATCCTTCTCTCCAACCCTAGCTATCCATCTAACCCCTATCCATCTCTACCCTAGCTAGCTATCCTCTCTCCAACCCTAGCTATCCTCTCTCTAACCTTAGCTATCCTCTCTAACCCTAGCTATCCATCTCTCCAACCCTAGCTATCCTTCTCTCCAACCCTAGCTAGCTATCCATCTCTCTAACCCTAGCTATCCTTCTCTCCAACCCTAGCTAGCTATCCTTCTCTCCAACCCTAGCTAGCTATCCATCTCTCTAACCCTAGCTATCCTTCTCTCCAACCCTAGCTAGCTATCCTTCTCTCCAATCCTAGCTATCCTTCTCTCCAACCCTAGCTAGCTATCCATCTCTCTAACCCTAGCTATCCATCTCTCCAACCCTAGCTATCCTTCTCTCCAACCCTAGCTATCTAGCTAAAGATAGTCGTAGCTCTAAGATCGCGCTGTGCAAATGGGCCCAGATGGTTAAAGCGTCCACCCGTCACACTGAAGACCCGGGTTTGACTCCCCACATGGTTACAATGTGTGAAGCCCATTTCTGGTGTCTCCCACCGTGATATTGCTGGAATATTGCTAAAAACGGCATAAGAACCAAACTCACTCACTCATGATAAAACCAATGGACCTTTCATAATTTATGGCTAGGGTTGGGGTGGGGGTTTGGGGTGATGATGATTTTATGGAGAAGCATGTACAATGTGACTAAACCCCCTAAAATTTATGCACAAAGTAAGTGACCCCCTCTGGATGTCATGTACAAAATCAATGATCCCCCCCCTTTCCATATTTTTGTCCTAATTTTTACATATTCTTATGTACAAAATTGATGAAACACCCCCACCCACCCCGACCTACCTCCCAGAACAAAATGGGTGACGTCCTTAAAATCATCACACACACACACGCACACACGCACGCACGCACGCACACACACACACACGCACGCACGCACGCACACACACACACACACACACACACACACACACACACACACACAACACACACACACACACACACACACACACACACACACACACACCAGTTCATATGAATAAACTCGTATTCCAGCCAAGGCCTACATCGAGCACACCTTGGTATAGTGCAAAGTCGTCTAGTTATATGCTGGACTACAGCCCCTAGCCATAAATTATGAACGGTCCCCAAGTTTGTCACCTCGTGCAGACAAAATAGGCTTGGCATGTCTGATAAATTAACTAACTTAGAAATCTATGCCTAGAATAGTTATGTTTCGTAAAAACAATTTAAGGTTGTCGCTCGCAAATTGTTGCACTACTTACTTACCCAGAGCCACCTCCTCAATGCAACTAGGTCATTGTCAGAGTAACAAGATAGCCTCCGACACGAGAGTTATACTACACTGCGACGGGTAATGCCTGGACTGTCAAGTGCGCCCACTGAAATCGGTTGCGCGAATCATTATATCATGGACTGTTGTACCATGTGTAGCGGTGCCTGGTTTGACGGTCCTGTTAAACTGCAACAATATTAGGTCAGTTAATGCATTCTGGAGACCGTACCACATACTGTCCTAGCAGTGTGTTATAGAGTCTGTACTATTGCATGTTATCATCTTGGACTGTCAATTCTTTATTCTTCAGTACAGATGTGGGCCAACGGCCCCTGGTACAACATAGATTGGTCCATTACATATAAGTATTTACATACATGTATATGTATTCCAGAGAATGTACATGAGGTATGAGGTAGTGAGTTCACTTTACTATAGTGTGCCTGTCATATATCATGCTATCCAAACAGGGCCGTCTTGCTAAAACAATCTTAGCGCTGTAACTCCCATACTTGAGAGATAGATACATTTAACATTGAGACACGCTTAGTCTGTCTCACTGTCCCCGAACCATATTATCTTCCCCGATGCTTAGCCCTCCCTGCAATGCTAAAGCTCTAAATAAAGCAAGTCAAGATTTCCTCAGGTTCAGGGTGCCGTTCCACTAACCGATCTTAGCCCTATGCCAATCGTAAACCCCTAAAATCCCAATCTTAGCGTGACGTTACGATCGGCATACCGTTCCACTAACCAATCTTACCTAAGTCAATCGTAAAGTTAAGATTCAAAGTCTAAATTGCTCATGACCAACTTAGGATAGCTAAAATCAATCGTTGAGAAACCAAAACGGTGGCTTTCCTATTCTGTGTGAAAAATAAGAGCGAGCATTTCACCGTGAGCGTCCCCTAAAGTCCCCCATGAAATGAATTTGTATATTTCTGTGATGTAAACAAACACTGCACTGAAGCCTTACAAATGTCAGGCCAGTCTGACCACTGTCGTCATGGGAACACAACCGAGCGAGTCGGTGTAACACATTTGTACAACAATATTGCAACGTCATGGTTAAGAATAGGGGCAGCCGTGAAGTGAACAATGTTCTGAAGCAAAAAGATACAAATATGCTTGATTTCACTGCGGATATTTGGTGGGGATTTTATAGTCCAAGAGATAAGGTCCATTTATTTACCCCGAGAGGTCCAAAAGGTTTGAACATTGGTTCCTATGGGAAAATGTCTGAATTTTCAGAATATGTAAGTCTTACGAGTCAAAACTTGACCAATTTTTCGCTAGAGGGCGCTGAAGTCATGACTCAGCATTTTTTTCACCCACTACCCCACTACTGGAAATGTTGATTTTTTGCATATTAAATACAAATAAAGGGTGACATATTATATATTATATGAAAGCCAACACATTTGGCTTTAATAAAATCATAACATTAAGTACATCTTTGAACTCACTACTGTGTCAGTACACAGAAAAGACAAAAATTACATAAAAAATGGTAAAATGCACATCTTTCGTTTTTTACTATATAAGCAAATAAACCATTGAAGAGTATGTTTTTCTCATTTTGGATTGACAAATATGTAGTCAATCATTTGTAACAAGAATTATAACTTTCTATAAAGTTTTAATGGATCTACACCATGTTTTGTGAGGAAGGTGTCAAAGTTAAATTTTGGAAAAGGGAGATAACTCTT